TTAATTAATAAATAAATAAATTAATTAATAAGCTGGCCAAAGACACATCATTTCTGGGACCTCTGTTCTGTTGTAGAGGTTTGAAGTTTATCCTTATGTTAGCACTACCTTGTCCTGATTGCTACTGTCGATGTTAGTATAAAAAGTGTGTGTCCTTTTAAGTATTTTTCTTCTATTTAAAAGATTGTTCTGGGTGTCTTAGGGCCCTTGAAATTCCAAATACATGTTAAAACCAATTTGTCAGTTTCTACAAGAGCTCAGCTGGAATTCTGATAGTATTGTATTCAGTGCATTTGGAAAGTATCGACCATCACATTAACAATACTAAGTCTTGTAGACTGTGAACATTTCAATTTGTCATCAGTTTCTTCCCACCGTGTTTGGTGCTTCTTGGAGTCAGAATATATATTTTGCCCCCTTTTTTGGAGTAACAGAGATTAATTATAGATACTGTAAACATGTACACAAAACGGAGCTTAAAAAAACTGCTTGTGGGGCTGGGGATTGAGCTCAGTGGTACAGCACCTGCCTGGCAAGTGCAAGGTCATGAGTTCAATTCCTGGTATCAGAGAAAAACCAAAACCAAAACAAAACAAAACAAAAAACAGCTTGTGACTGAGCACAGTGGCAGAGACCTGAAGATACTGATTGGAAATAAGCTGTCTTTCCTTATACAAGAATCTCTCTCTCTCTCTCTCTTTTTTTTTTTTTTTCTATCTTTTTGAGACAGGGTCTCGCTGTGCAGTCCAGCCGGCTTTGAGCTGGCTTTGTAGCCAGGCTGGTCTTGAACTCGCAACAATCATCCTGCCTCAGCCTCCTGAGTACTGGGATTACAGGCGTGCGCCACCAAGCCTGGTAACAAGAATCTTAAGGTGTTTCCTATTTATCTCTAAAGGTAGTAAATATGAAATAAAATCAAAGCCTAAGTATGGCTATACCCCAAGGACAACGGACCAGGCAAAGCCTCGAGAGCTGTTTGCTTTGGACAGACCTGAGCCTGCTTTAGTCTGTGAACATCAGGTGACTTCAGACTCACCTTGGTGAGCCAGGCAATCTCTAATAAGCTTTCTTCACTGGTATTGGCTGACCCCGGGGTTGTCTCTGGGAAGACAGGTGGAGCGCCTGTGAGGCAACCTGCACTAGAGGGACAAGGAGTTTGTTTGATGCCCAAATATATTTTTCATAGTCTCTTTATGTATTTCTCAAAACAGCAAAATGTAGCTAGTAAGTTCTTCCTATTCCATGGCTGATAAGCTAGTAAGAAAGAACTAAGGAAAAGAAAGAAAGTAATGAAGAAAGAGAGAGAGAGAAAGAAAGAAAGACAAAGAAGGAAAGGAAAGAAGAAAGAAAGAGCAAAAGAAAGAGTGAGCCTAACTTGTCCAATGGCATGTAGAATAATTCCGGTTCACACACTCATGGCGAGATGCCCCTGACCCTAAACTGACATGGTGGGGCCCGTGTCGGGGCTCGGAGGCTCGCTTCCCTTGAGGACCCCTGAGCAGACGCGGTATGGATCCGCAGAGGGAGCCCTGCCCTGCAACACCAAGTGCTGGGACCCGGACTTCAGCTTCTTGGCTTCTTGAGCTCTTCCCAAGAGCCTGGGCCAGGCTGGCCACGGCTCTTCCCTTTTCCCCCGGGGGAGCTCACAAGGGAAGCCGGGCTGCTGATGAGGATTCCAAAACCTGTGCTTTTCCCGGGTGTTTATTCTAGTGGCCACGGACAGGCGCGGCTCCCACTTCAGACCTCTCAGGAACAGGCTACTTCAGTGTAGGGCATTCTGTCCTTCGTAAGACTAACAGAGGAGGCAAACGCAGTATCAGGGATTCTTAAGATCCAGAGGGAGACAGCGATGCGTTAAGGGGGCACCTCCTTCCACGAGACTTGGGGCTGGTGCTCGGAACACAGGTGCTGATGGAAAACGAAAGGAAGTCACAGCCTAGCGGCGGGCTGGTCAGGTGGACCCCTCAGACCGTCTGCTCAGACTGGGGCTGCTCAGCGTGGGCGCCCTGCCCTTTCTTATGCCCATGGTTTAAGCAGGCACTTCGCAGGGCCAGCACCATGTTCGGCGACCCTGCGGCAGCTGCCAGGATAAAGGATGCCGAGGCTCTGAGGACCTAGCAGGTGGACCAGGTCCCTGAGAACCTGCACAGCTGCTGCCATGGGGTCAGTGCCTTTGGTCATGCTTAGGCCAGAGGTATCAGCTACACAGGGCCGCTGACATCCACACCTGGACGCCAGGACAAGCCGGTCAGCTCCTTAGAGGATAATAAGCAAGACTCACTTTACTGAGCGTCTTTAATTGTGTAGTGATTTGCTTTTAGATTTTGCTTCTCAGCTGTCACTTGCTGAGAACAGTGACAGAGGTGACCCACAGGAGGCCAGCAGCCTTCTCTACGAAGTCCTCCACCCAGGGCCTGCTAAGGTGGGCAGTGGGGACGCATTGCTAGCGCCTGGGCTCATGGGGGTGGAAAAGAAGATCTCAGCCAGGTCCACAGGTCTTAAGGACAGTAGTTTTGTACATTGTGGAGACCTGGGGTGGCATCGTAGTCGGCAGGATTTGAACCTGCGCGGGGAAACCCCAATGGATTTTTAGTCCATCGCCTTAACCACTCGGCCACGACTACACGAGGATTGTATTGCCACCCTGGATGAGTACTGGGGTGCGCTGCAGCTCTTCCCAGGCCTTCGGCTCCTACCCTCGAGGTCCGAGCCAGCGTCTCTTGCGGCCCGCTGCGGTGAGAGGGCGGCCGGCTGCGGCGGCGGAGGCGCGAGCTGCGCCGCTGACCCAGGGGCGAGGGCCTTCCAGGCCTTCCAGGCGGCCGCATCCCAAGAGCCCTGAGGCGCCCTAAAAGGACGGGCCACTTCTGCCCGCGGTGCCAGGACACTGGGGGGACACAGCAGGAACCCCCTTATCCGCACTCGGGGAGCCTGGGGTCGCCTCAAGTGAGACACGCGAACAGGGAAGACGGCAGCAGCAGCTCCATTCTGCTGGAGGTGGCAGGGACGTGTCCTCGAATCGGGCAAAGGGCACTTCCTGTCTGTGAGCCCCACTTACAGCTCTGGCCCGCTGCCCCCTCTCCCCTGGGTAAACTGTTTCCCAGGCTCGCACCCTGCAGCTCCCTTCGGCCTCTCCTTCCCGCCCTCCACGGAGTCACCCCTGTCCCGGCACACGCGGCACACTCCACCCGAGTTCGCGATCGCTTCCAGCCGCGGACCCTCCTGGAGGAGGAAGCTCTGTTTCGATCTTACTAGAAATAAAACTGTACAAGGTCCCGGCTGTGATCCCAGCCTCCTCTGGCTGGACGATAGGACCGAGCACCAGCTCTCGCTCTTAGCAAGATTTTCAGTGAGTCGCTGTCTCTGTGGTTTTTGCTTCCCTTTAAGTGAGGCTATCATGGTTTAAGCGAGGCTATCATGGTTTAAGCGAGGCTATCATGGTTTAAGCGAGGCTATCATGGTTTAAGCGAGGCTATCATGGTTTAAGCTAGGTTATAATGGTTTAAGTGAGGCTATCATGGTTTAGTATGTTTGGAGGTGCTTAAATTTACACATTTTTGGCAGTGTCTATAGGAGGTGCTGCATTTTTAAAGTTCATCTTGCTAGCAAAGGAAAATAGTGATTTCATTTTTACTGAAGCAAAAGAAACAGTAATATGTGCCGCTCCACTGTGTATGGCTCTGTGATGTTATAGGCCCCAAAGTGACACGGTGACACAGAATCCCAGCGTTCCCCACCAAGACCACCACTGCCTTCAAATCTAAAAATCAATTTGCCTTTCCAATGGTGTATGATATTTGCATACTCTTTTTTTTTTTTTTTTGGTCTTTTTGAGACAGTGTCTGGCTATGCAGTTCAGGCTTGAGCTCACTTTGTAACCCAGGCTGGCCTCAAACTCGAAATGATCCTCCTGCCTCAGCCTCCCGAGTGCTGGGATTACAGTCGTGCGCCACCATGCCCGACAAACCATGTACTCAATTTTCAAAAATTCTCTTGTGACCTAAGAGCTGATGGAATTCAAAGTCAAATTCACATTATGTACAACTCTATAGGTTTCTCATGAACACATGCGAATCAACTGTGCTCCAGCCACACAGGAGAGTATTACATAGCAGGTAAAGCAGGAACCAGTCCAGGGAGGCTACGTGCAACAGAAGTAACAACTAGCTTTACAGTAGTGTTAAGGGAGGAAAGTAAAATCCATGTGATTATGCGTAGCATGATACCTTGTATCTGAAACACACAGCTTTTAATAGCAGAGAGCAAGCCAGGGGAAGCATTTTGGACTAACTTCTTGTGGGACCCAGTGACATAGCTATAGTTCCTTAAATTGTAAGAATACCACACACAGCCTAATTTGTGACAGGAGATACTTAGTTTTGTGAAGAAGTGATCACAGAGACATCCTTATGGTACACGCTTAAGGGCTGATGATTTCCATGGAAATATCTAGCACTGACAGCAGTTATGCGAGGTGGGCTAAAGTCCTAGACGTGACTGCGGAACACCCCATAGATGTTTACTCATGTCAGCCGGACTTTTTTATGTGGGGACTCACACTTATCCAAATGCAGGAGAGAGGTCAAGCGATGATTTACTTATGGACACATATTCTCATTTTCATTTCTCCATGGAAAATGAACTCTGGCGATTGTCCCCAACAGGCATCATAAAAGGCTTCGTTCTCTCGGTGAAAAGACGTGTCCGCAGGTTTCGCCCTCTTCTGTCTTTTGGGTCCTTTCGAGCCCACATGAAGTCGGTCATGGGAGGTGTTCCCTGGGTGGTTATTCCGAGTGTCGGATCTCTGGGGCGGAGCGAGTTTGGGTAGCGAGCACCAGGATTCCCTGAGGATCATCCTGGAGACTTCATTTTCAAAAGGAAAAAAAAAAAAAAAAAACCTCAGGTTCCACCGAGATTTGAACTCGGATCGCTGGATTCAGAGTCCAGAGTGCTAACCATTACACCATGGAACCCCACATTGGCATCTTCTGCGCTCCAGCCTGATGGGTCATCTATCCGCGACCGCGTCCGCGCAGCCTTCGCGGCGGAGAGCCACACGCACTTCCGGCCGCGCCGTGGGCCTCCCTGGCGCGCGCCCCGCTGCCCCTGCCCGGCCTAGGGCTCTCCGGTGCTGCGTCCCTGCGCCGTGCGCCGCCCTGGCCCCACCTCACAGGTCGACCCCACCTCACAGGTCGACCCCACGCCGGCCCCCCCACGCCAAGCCCGGGCCCGCGGCGCCAGGCAGCAGCGCCCCCTGGTGGACGCCGCTGCTCAGCGCCCCGTCGGCTCAACCCGACCCGGGGCCGCGCCGGGACCCGACGGTCCAGCCCCGGCCGGCGGGGGCGCTGCCCAGGCTGCGGGGAGGGCGAGGAAACCGACAGGGCCCGCGGGCACACCGGAGCCCACGTCAGGGTCGGCGGGAGAAGCCTCAGGGCAGGCCTCAGCGCAGGTGGGAGGTTGGAAATGCGCCCGACCCCGGGGGTACGCCGGCTCCCGCGGAAGATGCCAAATCCCGGCCCAGGGCGCTGTGCGAAACTCCGACTCTTAACACTGCAGGGTCGCTGCAACCAGGGACAGGGCGAAAGCGCTGCGGTCCGGAGAGAAGATGACTGAGTACACCCGACAGGACCGAGGCGGGGAGAGGAAGACAGGCGAAGACCAGGCCCGCCTGGGGAGGGCGGCAGTCAGTGGCAGCACCGACCTGCCGGCCGGAGGTAATCCAGACCGGAGCTAAGGCACCGCTGGACGACGGGGCTGCCGGATGGGCACGCCCTGCTCAGCTGTCCGATGTTGCTCCCGCGAGTAAGCCCAAGGTTGTGCGTCAGTGCCCCTCTGCCTGGAAAGGGGTGCCTCGAGCGAGGAGGAGAGGGAGACACACTCAAAGAGCGGGGGCGGAGGGCCATGCTTCAGGATGGGCAGAGACACAGACGCTGGCTCTCCACCGTTTCCTGGTGTACACGATAACCGGAGGATTCCCAGACGACTCAGGGCTGCGGCCGTCTTACTCTGAGAAGGTCAGGCTGATGAGCACCACTGCCCAACGGGGTCTTCTGCTGATGAGGACAGTGGGGAGAGATGGCAGGTTAAGGAGTTTGTCCTTTCTCCAAGGTGAAACACTATTTTTATTACTACTCGGTTCTCCAGGAAGCAGGATGTCCTCATCTGATGTAATCTCACCCTGGGGCGTCACAGCACCGCAGGGCCCCCTGAGGCCCCAGCTGTGACAGGAGGCACACGGAGTTACGTGGCGAGACACTAGGCCTCAGACAAGCCCTAGTCACAATTTAATTATGAAACGATTTTTCCCCAACAATTATATAGAATGGTCCTAGACGGATGTGGCCCCATGAGGCTACTACAGGCCCGCTGACAGTGCACGGCTGCTGCGGCCCACAGCTGTCCTCAGGGTCTGTAGAGCTGGACAGCAGGAGGAGAAGCTCCTGGGCTGTACTGGCCGCTGTGTTCCGGGGATACCGAGTGACAGTGTGGGTTACACATCTGACCCAGGGAGGGCCAGGGACACGGCCAGGAGTGGAAGCTCAGGAGGAGAATGGGACGCTTGCGTTGGGGCAGCAGTGCAGACGCTGTTTAAGGGAGCTTGGCCCAAACATCTCAGCAGGACGCAGGCTAAGCAGAGTGTGGAGAGATGTCTGGACAGCAATGCCATAAGGCGGAACAGAGGGTAGGGGCAGTGTCATGGGTTACAGATCGGGGTCATGGGTCACAGGCAGTGACAGGGCTCAGTGCCATAAGGTTGTGTGCTTCAGGGCCCAGGTGTCTGTGAACACCACTGAACAACGCGAATGACTCCAGGGGACGTCGGGATCAGTGCCCCGGGGGCCACAGGCTCAGCAAGCTGCCGGCTCTGGTCTGGGAGGCTGCTGGGTGTCTCCTCGTTCACTCTGCCGTGTTACTCCTGTCCCCCAGCGCAACACCGAGGGGAAATTCTTCTCTTGTTCCCAGGATCAAGAAGTCCCTATAGCAGTGGCTCACACCGTGCATTTTCTTACTCCGATGCCCGCTCTCGTGGCAGCCCAGTTCCCTGGAGACACTCTGCACCGCACACGCGTGCCCTGCATGAGCTCAGCCGCACACTGTGGAGCAAAGCGATCCTGACGTGTGGCTGCAGGGCCAGAACGCCGCTCCGGTTGTGGAACCAGAACCAAACCAAATGGAAAAGCGCTCTACACCAGGAGCTGGAAGGCAACCGACTTTACCACACTGGTGGGCTGGGATTGCTCCCACAGCATCAGCTCAAAACTGGCTTTGGAATTGGTTTATATACGTTTTGTAGGCAGGAAGTACAGGAGCTTGAAAGCGAGGCAAGTTTCTGTTGGGTAGCATCAGTCTTGCTGGGCAGAAAGTCCTTGGAGCGAGTTAGCCAACAGGACATGTTTGGGGGCGAGAAAGCACAGGCTGCGCAGCTGGGTGCAGTCAGACTGGGCGGATCAGGTTATCTCTGGTCTAGTCAGTCAAGGCTGAGGGAGTCTAGCGGAGGAGGTACGCGGGGGGCTGCATGATCTCATTCTGTCCTAATGTGGTGTCAGACTACTAGTTGATTTTAATTTTTAAAAATTTCCATCACACTATGAGCAGGCCAGGGCGAACTGGTTCTCAGGCTGCTGGTGCGGAGGCCTGGCCGGGCACCTAGGTGGATTCCGCCTGGGCGCCAGCCAGGACAGGGTAGGAGTGGTGTGACCTCAGTCACCTTCCACTGGAGTAACTCGCCACCAGCTTTTGGGTTCTGTTCAGTGTGGCTCTGTCCTAGTCAAAAGAGAAGCAGGGCCCTAAAACCGCTCCACCGTGTGTACATGGACTCAGACCTCCTGCTTGGACTCCAGGGAAGGGGCCTCGCAGCCAGCCTTGGGCCCAGTCTCCTACCTCCTCCTTTCACCCTTGTTCTGCAATCAGCCTGCACGACCCAGCCAGCAGACCTGGTTCTGCTGCGCTTCCTGTTTGGTCTTCTGTTTCGTGGGAACCCAGAGACGTTCCTGCTGGCAAAGCTGCAGCGGCCTGGCTCTCAGGGGCCCTTGTCAGGAGGAACAGAGACGTCCCGGAGCGGGGAGATGGCAAGCTCGTTCCTGCACTCGCGGTCCTGGGGAAGGAAGGAGCGCGCTTTACCCAGACCTGGACCTTCCCGGGGTCGACCCTTCCGTGGGAGAGTCGGGGGTGATGGGGGGAGACACACAGCGGGCCAAGGAGCCCCTGGCTCCGGCCTTCAACACTGAAGCAGCACAGGCAGCCCAGGCTCTCTGACCTCCTGCCCCTGTGTACGCTTTTGCCCACGACCACGCCGACCCGAGAGTGGGAGAGTGGGCTCCGGGTCAGGGAGCCCAAGCCTCTCGCTTTGGATGGTGGGGTCCCGGGCCCCGAGCCCGCCTCTCGCGCGGCCTGTGTCACCTTCCGGCCTGAGTTGAGTCCATGCTGGTTCGCCCGTGTCCACCTCTGGGTTTTCAGATCCTCGGCCGCTGAGCTTCCTCCGAGCTCCGCGATTCTCTTCCTTTTCAGAGGCCCGGCACTGCGTTGTCTGCCACGCCTGGCCTGCGGCCGCAGGGTTCGCCCAGGACAGCCGCGGGGGTTGCGCACTGCCGCAGCAGGGTCCCGGTCTCCCAGGGTTCCGAGGTCCCCGCTGTCCTTGGACCCTATGAAGCCTTTTTGTTTTTTTGGCCATAGGCCACGCCTGCAAACACGGGGCAGATGCCACGGTCCCAACTCGGTCCGTGTCACTGGACCTCAGGTCCAGCCTTAGGAAGGTGCGGCGGGGCGTCCTGGAGCTCCGAGACTGCGAGGGGCGAAAAGGACGCACACACTCGCGCCCACACCCGCGCCCGCTTCCGCACCCGTTTGGCCGGGACGCCGTGGCGCTGTCCAGGGCGGGCAGCCGGCCGGGCGGGCGGGGAGGCTCGGAGAGGGCGGGGTCCCCACGTCTCAGCCACGCGCCCCCAGCGATGCGGACGCGGCGCCGCGTGCAGACGGCTCGCCTCCGGCGCTCACGGCGCAGCTGCGGTCGGGGTGCGCTTCTGCGGCGGGGTTCCTTAGGTGAAAATCGGTTCGGAGGGAAAGCCCGCAGGCAGCAGGGCTCGCGCGTGCGCCCCGGCCGCGCCTCCGAAGTTGGGCGAGGCGCTCGGAGGCGGGCGCAGCCGAGTCGATCTGGTCGCGTTTCCGCAGACGCTGGAGCCTTCGCCACGAAGACCCCAGGCCCCATGCGCGGGCTCCGGGGACAGGGACGGCGCGGGCCGCGTGGGGCGGGAGAGCTGCGGAGGCGCAGGCCCGGGCCTGGTCGCTGCGGTTGTGCCCCCGGACGGGCACAGGCGGGGCCTCCCGGGAGGGGCTGGGGTGTGACCTTCCTTTCCTACTTGTGTGCTAGTTCTTCCTCGATGTCCTGCGGCTCCGACGGTGAGGACGTTATTCTGCGCAGGGCTGTCCGGGTCAGGACGCGAGGCCGAGTCACACCCCTCAGAGGGCAGTGACCCGGCCGAGGGCGCCTGGTCCACCCTGCCCGGGCCTCAGGGGAGAAGAGCGCTGAGCACCGAGGTGAGGCCTGGGAGACCCGCCCAGGTCGTGGGGGTCAGCCCAGAGCTGCGAGAATCGGTTCCGCGCTCCCAGCTGCCCAGGCTGCCGTGTCGCTGCCACGCGTGAGCCTCTGGTTCTGACCTTCGTCCCGGCGACGGATTTAATGTTGCCCTGCTTTCTTCTTGATGTTTCTCTCTCTGATATTTTCTCCTTTTTAATGAAGGAGCCTCCATTTGAAGTAACAGTTTTACTATCTAAAAAGCAAAAAATTGCTTTATTTTCTGTATTTTTCCCTTCTTGTTTTTACATTTAAAGTTCTCATCCTGAATTCTCCTGAGCTACATCTCCAGCCCTTTATTTCTTCTTTATTTTGAGACAGGGTCTTGCTCAGTCACTAAATTGCCCTGGCTGGCCTAGAATTTGGGATCCTCCTGCCTCAGCCTGTCAGTGTTGGGATTACAGATGTGTACCACCCTATCTGGCTTTTCCTTCCAACTCTTTAAAGTTTAATGTACTAGGTTTTTTTTTGTTTTGTTTTTTGTTTTTTTTTTAAGGCAGGGTCTCGCTCTGCAGTTCAGGCTGGCCTTAAGCTCACTTTATAGCCTAGGCTGGTCTCGAACTTGCAGTGATCCTCCTGCCTCAGCCTCCCGAGTGCTGGGATTACAGGTGTGCGCCACCACACCCGGCTGTACTAGGTTTTTAAAAATAGGTTCTTGAAATAAAAGCTAGAACAATACGAATTTTTCTGTTTTTTAATGTATACATTTGGAACTAAAAATTAATTATTAAGTACTATCTTAGTTTCATGCCACAGTTGTGATGTCTTATTTTCATTGCCATATAAATTAAAAACATTTTATAGTTGCAAATTTTTTTTGGCCTTGGAGTATTAATCAATTTTGTAACATTAAGAAATTTTTCATTTATCTTGTTGATACTTATTACTGTATGCTGTGAGACCACAAACTGGGTGGTATCAATCTTGAAATTTGTTGTTATGCACATTGTGGCTTTGATAAATATTTCATGTGTAACTAAGAGACATGGCTATTCTGCAGTTGGGATTAATCTTACTACTTGAAATTTCAAAGTCAGCACTCAAAAATCAATAGCACAGCCAGGTGTGGTGGTACACAGCTATAAACCCAGCACTCAGGAAGCTGAAGCAGGAGGACTGCCATGAGTTTGAGGCCAGTCTGGGGCACACAGTTCAAAGTCAGCCTTAACTACATAGTGAGACCTTGTCTCAAAAAAGCAAAACAAAAACAAATAAGCAAACAAAAAACCCAGTAGTACTCAAAATTAGGGAAATGAAACACCTTTCACAACAGCATCGATAAAAATGAAATACTTAGGAACCAATCTAACAAAGAAAGTGAATAGACCTATACATTAGGTACTCTGCAAAACTAAAAAAAAATACAGTACTCTGAAAAAGGAGATCGAAGAGGAAATCAGAAAATGGATAGTCATCCCTTGTCCTTAGATAGCCAGAACCAATATAGTGAAAATGGCCCTACTCACAAGATTGTTATGCAGATTTAATGCAATACTGATCAAAATTCCAATAGCATACCTCACAGAACTAAAGAAAATAATCCTAAAATTCATGTGGAACCAGAAGAGACCTAGAATAGTAAAAGCAATTCTAGGCAACAAAGACAAGGCAAGGGGCATCACAATCCCTGAGCTAAAATTATACTACAAAGCTACTGTGATAAAAACAGCATGGTACTGGCAAAACACCAACAACAGCACCCCAAAACAAAACAAAACCCAAGGATCAATGGAGCAGAACTGGAGATGCAGAAACAACGCCAAGCACATGCAGCCATCATTTACAAAGGCACCAAATACTTTCACTGGAAGAAAGACAGCCTCTTTAACAGATGGTGCTGGGAAAACTGGCTTCCCACATGGCAAAGGTTAAACTAGACCCATATCTCTCACTATGCACTAAACTAAAATCAAAATGGTTGAAAGATGTAAATATTAAAACAGAAATGCTAAAGCTGCTGGAAGATAGAACAGGTAAAACTCTGTAACACATAGGTGCAGGCAAAGACTTTATAAACAAAGTCCCAATTGAATAGGAAATATCACAGAGTCAACAACTGAGATCTCATATGAAAAAGCTTTTGTGCAGTAAAGGAAACTGCTAACAGTTTCAACCCACAATGTGGGAAAAAAAAAATTATCAGCTATTCCTCAGACAAAGGACTAACATCTAGAATATATAAAGAACTCGGAAAAGTCAGACCTCCCTTTTAAAGACCCAACCCAAAAATGGGCATTTGAAATGAATAGACACTTCTCAGAAGTAAAAACAACAAATAAATGTATGAAAAAATGCTCAACATCACTGGTCATTTGAGAGATGCAAATTAAAACAACACTGAGATTCCATCTCGTTCCAGAAAGAGTGGTTATCATCAAGAAATCAACCAATAGCCAGGCATGGTGGCACATGCCTGTAATCCCAGCACTCAGGAGGCCGAGGCAGGAGGATTTCTGCAAATTCAAGGACAGCCTGGACTACAAAGTGAGTTCAAGGCCAGCCTGAACTGCATAGAGACCCTGTCTCAGAAAGACAAAAAAATGAAAAAGGAAGAAAGAAAGAAAGAAAGAAAGAAAGAAAGAAAGAAAGAAAAAGAAAGAAAAGAAAGAAAGAAAGAAAGAAAGAAAAAGAAAGAAAGAAAGAAAAGAAAAAAAGAAAGAAAGAAAGAAAGAAAGAAAGAAAGAAAGAAAGAAAGAAAGAAAGAAAGAAAAGAAAAGAAAGAAAAGAAATCAACTAATAACAAATGCTGCCAGGGCTGTGGGGAAAAAGAAACCCTTCTCCACTGTTGATGGGAGTGGGGATGGGGGCAACCACTGTGGAAATCAATGTAGATATTCCTCCAAAAATGAAAACTGGAGGTTCCATTTAACCTAGCTATTCCCCTTCTTGGTATCTTCCTGAAAGAGTTGAAAGCATCACACCACGGAGATATACACACACCCGTGTTTATAGCAGCACAGTTTGTAATAGCTAAATTCTGGAAACAGCCCAAACACCCATAAGGAGATGAACAGATAAAGACAGTGTGGTATTTATATACCATGGAGTACTACTCTGCCATAAAGAAGGATAAACATG